ACAGGGCAAGGGGCTGTGCTTCCTTATCTGTCATCTTCTTAAAAAAAAAATACCACATAGCTTCATGGCACTTTCTCCCAGACAGATACTGCATGCTTCACCCTTAGCCTTCACTCTGCATGCCTGGAGCCAGAAAACAGTTTAAAGAATGGTTGTGTTCTGTACAGTCTTTTGTGGGAGCACATTTGGCCAGAAGTGTTACTGTTCAGATTTGTGGCGTCTGAGGAAGACACGTCTCATGTCTCCCTCATTTTCCTCACAGTAAACCAATGCACAGTAGCCGCACTGTTTGGCTTCTGTGATAGTATTTGTGGAAGTTACTCTTCACTTGAAAGCAGGCTCAAAGGCCACCTGGTTTCTGGTTGCTGAAGAGAATGGAAGGGGTCATCTTTTGCTGTGAAGAGACTGGTATACTGGCTGAAATGGATAAGCCCTCAGTTCCAGCTTTTGCATGATAGGAATTTATGTGGTGGTCTTTGACAGAGCAGAGCCAGCTTTCCTCAGTTCCCAAATGCCTAATTAGGTGCCTGTTTGCCCTAGGCAGGGGAACTCCGACCTCAGCACCCTCTGTGACTTTTCCTTTTCTTTTTGAAACTGGATCTCATGTAGCCCAGGCTGGCCTTTAACTCCATATATAGTCGAGATGATCTTGAATTTCGTATTCTCTTTTCTCTACTCCCCAAGTGCTGTGATTACAGGCATGCACTGCCATGTTCCATTTATTTGGTGCTGGGGCTTGAACAAAGAGCTTCTTGTATGCCGGGTAAGGATTCCGTGATTGAGTGCCAGTCGGCCCTAGCTCCTGGCATTTGACTTTGGAGTAGAGTACTATGGAAGCTATATTATTGTGAGAGATCACGCAGGCCAAGACTAATAAAGATCAGGCAACTCATTTCCATGGCTCCTGTCTACATGCACACGACTGTCCTTGCTGTAAGTGGCTGGCATCTGTTTCTGTTGCTTGTTACCAGCCCATACTGATAGAGCTTTTTTTTTTTTTTAAAGTGTGGCTTTGTGATTACAGGACAGGAAGAGACTGACATTACCTCATTGCTGAAATTTCCCTTTCAATTAAGGTATTGAGCCAGGCGGTGGTGGCGCAAACCTTTAATCCCAGCAGTTGGGAGGCAGAGGCAGGCAGATTTCTGAGTTCGAGGCCAGCCTGGTCTACAGAGTGAGTTCCAAGACAGCCAGGGCTGCACAGAGAAACCCTGTCTCAAAAAAACAAAAAACAAAACAAACAAACAAACAAACAAACAAAAACCACCTTCTGGTTCCTTCCCTGTGCTTTGTGATATAAGAATACTCTTCCCATCATCTGTCAGAGACCAGCAAAATGAGACCCAGCACAAGCATTAGTAAGGATGAATTGTGAGAAAATGAGAAGTCTGTGAGGCTGGATGCATTGAACGTCTCAAGCATGGCTGGATTGGAAGGGTTTTCCTACTCAGAGAGAAATGGAGGTTCTTAAAAGATCAGGAAGGAGACCTGTAAGAAGAAGGAGCAGCAGATTCCTGAGGGTGGTATCTGCCTGGTAAATCCTTCTCTAAGACAGATGCTACCTCTAGGGGATGAGCCAGGGTTTCTGAGAGATTACAAACTCTGCAGGATGCAGTTTCCTGTGCTCAGCAGGAGAGCTGAGTGGCTGTAGTTGTGACTCACCTTTGGAGAGACCCCCTTTTCCCCCCACACCTTCCTACCGGAGACAAGGTTTCTTCATGGTTTCTTTGTGTAGCCCTGGTTGTCCTGGAGGAAAGACTCTTTCTTTTCTCTCCCCACCCCCCTCCCTCACTTTACACCCTCCCCTGACTTGGTTTATTTTCAGACACTCTCTGTGTAGCTTGGGCTGTCTTGGAATTCACTAGACCAGGATGTCTTTGAATTTACAGAGCTCTACATGCGTTTGCTGGGATTAAAGGCATTTGCCACCATTCTTAGGCCCCATTTTGGTATTTTGAGAGAGTTTTATGTAGCTTAGACTGGCCTTGAATTTGTTATGTAGCTGAGACGAACTTTGAACTTCTGATCCTCTTGCCTCAGTCTCCTGAGTTTAAAGGAGTGTGCTATCATACTCAGCCTAGGAAAAAGACTTTTAGAAGGAGTAACAGGATACAATAAGGACTTTTAACACTACTCAGGAAGACTAATAAAGAGTTCCAGATTCCGGTCACTGGGACTATTTCCCTCTGCCTCAGTCCCTCATGGCATTCACAACCAGAAGCCAGATGAAGTTCAGGATGTCCTGCTGGGGAGGTGGGTGGGGAGGGGCTGGGAGACATTCCCAATGTAAACTGTTGGTTGCTGGATTATAGGAGTCTATGTGTAACTATAGTCACAACTTGCCCTGTGTTGAAATGTGGATTTGTGAAATACTCCAGATAATTCAAATCATGTAGCAAAATTTCAAATACATGGCATTCAGCTTTGACAGGTGGGGTGGGTCGGAGAAAAAATACTTTCAGTGTTTCGAAGCAATTTCTTTTTTTTTTGTTTGTTTGTTTGGTTTTGGTTTTTCGAGACAGGGTTTCTCTGTGTAGCCCTGGCTGTCCTGGAACTCACTCTGTAGACCAGGCTAGCCTCGAACTCAGAAATCTACCTGCCTCTGCCTCCCAAGTGCTGGGATTAAAGGCATGCGCCACCACCACCGCCCGACTTCAAAGCAAATTCTATTGAAGTATTCTGTACATAGAAAAGTTAATGCAGGAACCATTAAAGTATACTGTGTAGTATTTTTCATATAGTGAACATGTCCATTCAGAAGCAGAAACCACAGACACATGCACATATATAGAAATACAGGCATACGCACATCCCGCACACCTCTCAAAGCACCAGAATTACTGGTTTTCTACAAGTTTCCTCTTGTGTTCCCTTCTAGCACTTCACACAAGGGTAAACACACCCTGACTTCTCTTCCATTGACTATTTTTTTTTTTTTTTTTGGTTTTGACCCTTTGACAACTTATAGCATATAGTGCATGTTTTCTGGATGTTGTTGAATGCTTCATTTTTATTTATTTTTACTTTATTACTATTCTTTTCAGGCAGGGTCTCACTATGTAGCCCTGGCTAGCCTAGAATATGTTATGTATTATACCTGGCTGGCCTTGTACCCAGAGATCCACCTGCCTTTGCCACCTGACTATTGGCTTTATACATGCTATGTAGCCAAGGATGCCCTTGAACTTTTTTTTTTTTTTTTAGGTTTTTCCGAGACAGGGTTTCTCTGTGTAGTCCTGGCTGTCCTGGAACTCACTCTGTAGACCAGGCTGGCCTCAAACTCAGAAATCCACCTGCCTCTGCCTCCCAAGTGCTGGGATTAAAGGTGTGCGCCACCACTGCCCGGCTTGAACTTCTTTTTTAAAAATTTTTATTGGATATTTTATTTACATGTCAGATGTTATCCCCTTACCCCATTCTCCTCCTGCCCAGGAACTCCCTATCCCATCTCCCCTCCTCCTGATTCTATAAGGATGTGCCCCCCCCCCTTGAACTTCTTGATCTTCCTGTCTCTACTTCCCAAACACTGGGATTACAGGAAATCAATAATTCTGGTGTTTTGAGAGGTGTGTGGGATGTTTGAATGCCTGTATTTCTATATATGTGCATGTGTGTGTGGTTTCTGCTTCTGAATGGGCATGTTCACTATATGAAAAATACTGCACAGTATGCTTTAATGGTTCCTGTATAGGTCTGTGCAGCTATGTCTGATTTTATGCATTGCTGGTGGTTGAACCAAGAACTTTATGCATGCTAAGCAGAACTCTATCAGCTAAGCCACATCTCCACCCTCTGCTGGCACATTTTAGATATTATATAGTCTAAGCTTGAGAGAGCCTCAGATTTGTCAAAGAACTTAATTTCTTGTGAAACCTTTATAGTGGGTCTCAGGAGGTAGCCCAGTGGTAGAACACTTACCTAACAGATACAAGTCCCCAGGTTCAATCCCTAGAATGGCCACAAACAAACAGTCCTCAACCTTCAACCAATGAATTGAGAGGAATTCATGAAGGTTTAATAAAAGCCAGTTTTTAAAACAGAAATATCTCTTCCTATTTCTCCCTATTCACTATCTGTCTTGGGGTATAATTATAAAATGATCCTAAGTAGTTATGATTCAAGTCAGCTTGTAAGTTTCCCTCCAGACCCTTTAAGTATTCCAAAATGCAGGACCATTTGAAAAAAAAAACAACAAAAATCAAAGCCAACCAACCAAAATAAAACCCACTTTTGAAGCAGGGTATCAAATTATAATATGTTGCCAAACTGACAGTTCTCCCTCAAAATGTGAGATGCCTTCACTCCATATGTGCTTATTTTGAAGACATTTAATCACCTAAGTGCTATCTTACAGTCTGACTGCAACAGAATTTAAAGAGCAGTCCTGGGGAAAAAAAAAAAGGAGTTCCAGGAAGGACGATTTATCTTCACTCAGAGACTGTGAGCCCTGTATCAAGGGTGAAAGCGTCATTCACAGTACTAGGGACTGGTAAGAAGCTAGTGTTCCTAGCTGGCCTTTCTAGCTGTCCCACTCATCTAGATTTCAGAAAGCCATGAGTTTGATGGTAGGTGGTGAGTCTGTATGAGTGCCTTGTGCACAAAAGCATTGACAAGATTTGCCTGTGCTGTTTTTTCAGGGATATGTGTATAGTGAACAGCCTTGGTGAATATACATTATTATCTTCCTTCTCGAAGAGATTTGATGCCCCCCCTCTACTTGGACAAAGTCTAATGTAGCTCAGGTTAGACTTAAACATACTGTGTACACAAGGATGACCTTAAACTTCAAATCTTCTGGGATTACATGCAGGTACCATCATTCCCAATTTATAACCCAGGATTTCATGCATGCCAAGCAAGCATCCCATGACATGAACTACCCAAGCCCATTTTAGCCATTTTAAGAATTTTTAAGATTACAAAGTATTTCAAAACTGAAAAGAATAAAAAATTTCATTTTCCAGAATTATACACATAAGTAAACTGAAATCAGTAAGATATCCTTTTATCTTACTATGACACAAGGTGGTTTATTGGATATGATTATAAAAAAATTAAATGTGCAAGTTTGACTATGAAAGAGCAGGCTGAGCCACATAGGCACAAATCTATGTTTAATATCACTGTTTCCAAGAAGTATCTTAAAAGTTAAACAATTTAAAAAATGATTTATTTCATTTGTGTGCGTGTGTGTGTGTATGGAGTATATGCATGTATACCACACACATGAAGTGTCCATAGAAGCCAAAAGGGCATTGGATTCTCTGGAACTGAAGTTATAGATGGTTGTAAGCCACCATGTGGATGCTGGAAATTGATTCTGAGCCCTCTGGAGAAATGAGCACTTAACCACTGGGCCAACAGTTAACCATTTATCCATACTTATCATTTTCTGCTGCTGTTATTCTAGAAGTGGTACATAGGAAAGTTCACCAACTTATGTAGGAAGAGCAGACATACTGGGCAGGGGGAGATGGGCTGGCTGGCATTTCCACATTCTGTGATATAATATGGAAAATTCAGAAACAAATAAGAAGGCACAGTGGTAGTATATATACGGCAAGTCTTAGTACATTTGATACAAAGAAGGCATCTTATGATAATATTTCTGTTGGAACATTATACACGGCAGCTTGTATTTATAAAATGGAAGAGTCCTAGGATATGATATAAAAAGATACCCCAGAGAAATGACATTTAAAATGCCTCATATGAAGCTATAAAGGAAGACAGTGACATTCAACCCTCTACAGATAAAAAGTCATCTGGACACAAGCCTGACACCAGTAAGACGCCATCCACTGCAATTTCTCCAGTTTTGCCTTTGCCACGCTCTGCTTCAAAAATGACCTAATAACAGAGAGAGAGAAAGAGAGAGAGAGAGAGAGAGAGGATAGAAAGTTACTTCAAAACAATAATGTTAGCAAACTATTGAACAGCTGTTAGCAAGAACTAAACTTGTCTCTCTACTGTATAGAAATTGCTTTTTTTTTTCCGAGACAGAGTTTCTCTGTCTAGCCCTGGCTGTCCTGGAACTCACTCTGTAGACCAGGCTGACCTCGAACTCAGAAATCCGCCTGCCTCTGCCTCCCAAGTGCTGGAATCAAAGGTGTGCACCACCACCACTGCCCAGCAGAAATTGCCTTGCATATCGACTACATAGCAATGTCTTGATTATATACCAATTGTTCACAGTGTGGATTCTGTTCAGTGAAGATAGGCTCGAAGCAAACGCTGAAGGATTCTCAATAGTTCTGTAATCCTGAGTTGGGAACTTTTGGAATTGCCATGTAAAGAAATGAAGTAAAAAACAATGCAAGATCTTTTATTGTTTACTTTTATATTTTTGGTTGTGAGCCTAGCCTTTAATGGCTGAGCCATCTTGTCATCTCTATTGTTTACTTTTAAAATTTATTTCTTTTAAGCATGCTTGTGCGCGCTTATCTGTGTGTATGTGTCTGTGTGTGATTGTGTGTGTGTATCTGTGTCTGTGTGTGATTGTGTGTGTGTATCTGTGTCTATGTGTGTCTGTGTCTGTGTGTATCTGTGTCCCTGTGTATCTGTGTCTGTGTGT